ATCAAAGAGAAGCCGTGACTTCGTCACGACAAGATACTTACCGCGATTCATTTGGCATTATTCGAGTTAATAACCGTATGCGTCAAGAGGTAACATCGTCTTCACAGGAACATCCGATCCTGTTGAAATCGAATGACCCCTTTACGAGTATGATTATTAACTCGTGGCATCTCAAACTCCATCATGCAGGTGCCAATCATGTTACCGCCATGCTTAGACCTAAGTTCTTCATGCCTCGCATGTTTAGAACAGTTAAATCAGTTCTTTCACATTGCGTGGTTTGTAAGAGACAACAAGGTCGTTCTTACAGTTATCCTACCGCTCCAGATTTGCCACTACAAAGACTTATAAGGTCAAGACCTTTTCAGAATACTGGCCTAGATTATTTTGGCCCAATTCAAGTTACCGCACAGGAACAAGGAACTTGTAAAGTATGGGTTTCCTTATTTACATGCATGGCAACCCGTGCCTTACATCTTGAACTTGTCCGCAATAATACCGCTCATGAGTTTTTACTCGCCTTTCGTCGCTTCATCGCTAGGAGAGGAACTCCAGATCTTCTCATTAGCGATAATGCGTCGACATTCAAGTTAGGGCGAGATGTTATCGCTAACGAACTTCTTCGGTTCGCAGACGATACGGCCGTAACGGACTTTACTACGAAGAACAGCCTCCATTGGGACTTCATCACTCCACTTTCACCGTGGAAGGGAGGATTCTATGAGAGACTGGTCGGCGTAGTGAAGAACGCTTTGGCCAAAACGGTCCGCACCAATGTGCCGGACATTCGTCTTTTCGAGACCCTAATCGTCGAGATCGAAGCTACGCTTAACACACGCCCTCTGACGTCGTTAAGCGCTGCATCCTCCGTGCAGTTTAATACGCTTCGACCTATCGACCTTATTAGTCCTCATTTTCATATAGGACATTTTACCGCTCACGCACGCGAATCACCTTTTTTCGTCTACGATCTTTCTGATTCGCAGGCGAAAGAGGCGCTTCGCGAGAATCATGATATGCTGGTTACCGCACTTGACCACTTCTGGAAGCTTTGGCGTGAGGACTACCTTCAGTCACTCGCCCAACGCCAACAGAAACTGGCCAAGAATTCGAACGGATCACGGCTACAGCCAGCCGTTGGAGACCTTGTAATCGTCAAGACGGAAGACACGCCGAGAGCCCATTGGCCTCTCGCCGTTGTCACACGCCTTCACGTTTCCAAGGACAGCTCCATCAGGTCCGTCCAAATTCGTACCGCAAAAAACACCCTCGTGGATCGCTCGGTTAATCATCTTGTTCCTCTTGAGATCCACGTCCCTGTAGAAACTGTTGTACCAAAATCCCCTCCGTTACCGCCTAAAATACAGCCTCCTAGGAAGGCAAAACGAGCAAGACATTTTTAGGCTTCATTCCAGGTAAGAAACCCCCCTCATTTGCTCGTTTTGCCCTCCTTTTCCTTTTTCACCTTATTTACCGCATTATCCTGCTCCGAGGTCAGCGTACAACGCAGACGTTACAGTGGTGGCGCAATAACTATTCGCGTGCTTTGAGTCATGATCAGACTAAACAAGTCATCGATCGCGTCTCGAAGAACGCCGAACAGTATGCGCACACGCTAGAGTCTGATTTACCGCCACAGCCAACTCCAGCTCCTAAGCCTAAGTTCAAGTCTGGAGGTTTTGGCCCTCGTACGCCGCAGATTCAAACGACTTCAGCTTCAGCACCTATGTCATCTCCTGCTGACGAGCCCACTTCGTCCCGCTCTCGGGAGGATGGACGTGCGTCCAGTTCTAATGTGAGAGGGGGACGTGGACCGTCAGTAGAAGCTGGAAGTCGTCGTTACCGCCAAGGTTCGTTGGGTCGCTCGGACAGTGGTAGAGCTCGAGGTCCTTCAAGACAACCTCCTTCTCCACCACTGCAAGAGACACCCACAGAATCTCAGCCTCCGTGCGTATTTTGTTCTAGCCGGAGACATTTTTCCGCCGAATGTCATTACTACAGGCGCATAACCGAGAGAGCAAACGTTCTCAGAGACTGTGCGATCTGTAGTAATTGCTTGAAACAGCATTACGGTGTTTGTTCCCGCAGAGAAAAGTGTCTGTTGTGCTCTCAGAGAGGCCATCATCAGGCGATCTGCGTGCTCAACCGACACGTCATCGTCGACATTACGACGAACGCTTCCCGCTTTTACGAGGACGTCGCCAGAGATACATACTTTCCTACGAGTCGGGATTTGGAAGCGAGACAGCCGAGCCAAATTGTGAGGCAACGCTCTCGCTCTCGAAACCGTCGTAGAGGTCGATCAGCCTCTCAACGGGGCCGATCGAGAGGTCCTCCCTCCAAGAGAGGAGATTACCGCTCACGTCCATATTGAGCTGCATAAGGCAGCAAGTTACCGCTATCTTTAGTCTGTCTGTTACCGCTCGGGTGATCGTTAGGGACTCGACCCGAGCGTGATCATTCGTTTCTGCCGTGATGAAGAGTTACCGCCTTGGTTTGCTTCGATGTTGCCGCATTGTTGCCGCTTTGTGCAACACCGATCGAGGATTCGTCACTAAATGGTAATGCATTTTCCAATTGTCTCAACTCCTTTCATCAGTGACTAATCCTCTCGA